ATAGCCATCCACAGAGTGACTGTTTCTGAGAGCTGGGAGACCATTTTAGGCCTTTTTCCTGACCCATAGGAATCTGAAGAGAAGTATTGGCCAGAATGGAAAGAGCCTGACCCAGAAAGTGCTGCTGCAGAGTAGAGGTAGAGGCGAGGGCATGCCTGTGTCGACCTCTTGAACCCCAGTTATGGGCACGCCACTGCCCCAGTTGTCCCCAACCCCAGTTATGGGCACACCACTGCCATGACTTTGCCAGATCGATGTCCCAAGTACTCTGTTATTTACTTAATATATTTCTTTAAATTAATTCATGTTTTAAAATTCAATTGCTATTTTAAAGGATTTTTTTAAAACTAGAAAATGAACACTTGCCACGTATTTAAGGTAACACTACAAATAAATGTATGAGAACAAAGCCAAGCAGTTAACGTCTAGCGACACATGGTTGCCTTTATTAAACAGGGAAATGAGCAAGCATTGGAGAGTGTTACAGACCCATAAATCCAAATGAAGGCTTTGATTTTTACTCGTCAAAAGATAAAAGAGAACTGAAGGGGACTTCCTCACAGTGACGCTGAATGTGATTTAATTCCTTGGACGTTGAATGCCTGCATCCATCTTTCTCAGCAACCTTGGTCCACACACCAGTCTGCAGGAAAGGAGAGAACACAGGAGATGGGCAGATGAGGCTCAAGGTTAGGTTCTGCCACTTCCCTACGTCTGGCCTTGGCCAAGTAAGGGAATGAGTGTAATTTTCTCAGCTGTAAAAGTCCATGTTAGAGCCGCTCGCAGGGTCCGCTGACAATAGTAGCAGCACTGGCATTGGCACCTATTAATTTACTTTCCTGTTTTGATTCCAGTTGATGTAACTTCTGCAGGAACCACACTAAAAGAATTCAAAATTCACCGTTTTGTCTTTCCTGAATGATTCTTAGTGGTCAAGGAAAGGCAGGAAGTGCCTTTGACTGCCACACCTGCCCTCCTGATACATTTGCTTCTAGGGACTTTTACAACTGTGTCTTCATGGAAGAGTTAAGTGGAGGACTGAGAACTCTCAGGAGCTTTTCTGCACCCACACACATTTTAGAAATTATACTCGCATTTAATACCCAGCAGTTCTTTCTCAACCATGGGCATCAGTGGCCCCAAATCTCCCATGCAGGAAGAATTTACAAAGAAGAAACTTGAGACGTTATGGAAAAACAAGGAAAGGGATCTAATGCAGAAATTATAAGCACATTTTAATAAGACAGAAAAACAGAATCAATATATTCTGTCATAGCAACATTAAGAATATAACCTTTTTAGTCACAGCATTAGGTATAGTTTGTTAATTTGTTTGTTCTGTTTGTCATTTGTAAATTCTTTTTTGTAGATATTATGTAGTACAAAGCGGTTTCCTTTTTTCTTTCTCTTCTCATCTAAACTTTCAGTGATTTTAAAAAAATGTTTAGATTTTGAACTGTCAAATCCCTTCTCCCAGGTCCCACAGTGATTATGGAGAAAGGATAACTTGGTGTAAGATGGCAAATGTAATGGTAACCTGCTGCATCAGTTAGCTATTGCTGCAAAACAAGCCATCCTAAAACTGAATGGCTTAAAACAACAACCATTTATTTAGCTCACGGGCTCAACTGGGTGGTTCTTTCAGTCTCAACTGGACACCTCAGGTATCTGTTGGCATCTGCAGGTCAGCAGGGCACATGAAGGTTGGCTTCTTATCTGCTGGGGAGCCTCAGCTTCCTCTATGTGTCTCATCCTCTTTGTATGTTTGTCTTTGCTCCATCAAGTTGGCTGGGCTGATTCACACAGCAGAGGAAAGTAAGAGAGATGGAAGCCTGTCAGGCCTTTGATGCCTAGGCTTATAATGGGCATGGTGTCATTCCCACCACTTTCTATTGGCCACAGTAAGTCACTGGGCCAGCACAGATTCAAAGCAGGGGGACTAGACTCCATTCTTGATGAAAAAAACAGCATAAGCACAATGCAAATGCCATGTGGACAGAGAGGCCATTCATGGGCCATTGATGCAATAAACCTCACACACCACTGAGTTGTTTCTCAAACTCTGTTCATAACACCTTTACTCAACAGTCTGGTCCTGCCTCTTTAGGCAGCCGATCGATGTGGAGCCACTAGAAATTTTCACTCCTATCTGATGCCCTTGCATCTTACTTCCTCCTGTTCTCTTCATAGGTGTTCCCAGCCTGCTCCATTCTCCTCAACCTCAGAGCATCTCTGGAAGGCCATGCAAGAACCTGCAGGGCTGGTTGCCTTTGCAGATAGGAACCAGGGCACAGGATGGAAAGGAGACTCATAAGTCATTGTTAACTTTTTGGTTCTCATTGAAATTTGTATCATATGCATATATTACCTTAAGTTAATAATGGTGAAATTTTATTGCATCCTACCTACCAGGTAGGTGCCAGGCATTATGCTAAGTAATTAATTTACATTATTGCATTCAGTCCCATGAACTAGACAGTAATCTGAATTATCCTCATTTTGTAGAAGAATAAAGAGTACATCAGATGCCCAAGATCATGGTGTTACAGTCAGCAGAGCCAGGATTTGAATGCAGGCTGTCTGGCTCCAAAATCCATAGACTACCACTGTGCTCTACTGCCTCTTCACAGAAAATGTCTTGAAGAGGTGTCTACACTTGCTGTCCACACTTATTTCCCACTCACTTTATAATTCAGAGTAGGTGGTCTTTTGGCCTGATTAATTCATGAACTGGGTTCTCTCCAAAGTCACAAATAACCTCCCTGTTATTAAACTACTAGACATGTCTTTGTCCTCTCGTTTGACTTCTGGACAGCATTAGACTCTGTTGGTCCTTTCTTCCTACGGCATTCTATGCCTTGGATCCTGTGAAGCCACAACTTCTAGGTCTTATCTTCTGTCTCCATCACCTTTGAAAACTCCTCTCCTCCTCCTCTTCCTCCTTCCCCTTGTCCTCACAAGGATCTCTCCTAGGCCCACTTGTCCCTCCAGTTCTCACATCTCAGGCAATCTAATCCATGGCCCATACCCACACCCACACAGGTTTAACAGGAGATGTGGGCTTCTACCTCTACCTGGAAGGAATGATGCAGCCCCAACCTACCCCTAACCCCTAGCCTGAAGCAGAGGAGGCCAGCTAAAACAGAAGGTTTAAATAAGATCCAGAGTCTCACGACATAATACAAAAATGTCCCAGTTTCAACAGAAAATCACACTTCTTATTAAGTACCGGAGATCTAAAATTCAATTAAAACAAAACAAAACAAACAATGACTAGATGCCAATAGAAAGAACAGGGATTTTAAAGCAGCCATGATAAAAATGCTTCAATAAGTAATTATCAACATGCCTGAAACTAATGAAAAATAAGACATCTCAGCAGAGAAATAGAAGAGCTAAAGATGAACCAAATGGATATTTTAGAACTGAAAAATACAAGCTCAGTGGACGGGTTCAAAAGAAGAATGGTAAGGACAGAGAAAACAATCAGTAAAGAATAAATAAACTGAAAGAATCAATAAACTGGAAGATAGAACACTAGAAATTACCCATTCTGGACAACAGAGAGAGAGAGAATAGGCTGGGAAAAAAAAAGTGAACTGAGCTTCAGTGACCTATAAGACTGTAAAGAAACATCTAACATTCATATTATTAGAGTCCAAAGGGAGAGGAGAAAAGATGGTGGGGCTGGAAAAGTACTTGAAGAAATAAAGGCTGAAAATGTCCTACACTGCTTCTCAAAGGCTATTGTTTTATTTCTTGTTAGATCACAGGCTCTATGCAGCTTGGGCCTCCCCACAGTGACACTGAGACGGCAGTTTCTGGAGGACAGCAGTTCTTTTCAACACTGCTACGGTATAAAGTTTCTGCGAAAGAAAGGACACAAAGTCCTGCTGAGGTCAGTGTGAGCAAGGGACATGTGTCAGACTCCTTGGGAACATAGGTTGCAGATGAAGAGATTAAGACTCACAGGACAAATGTGAACCCAGATGATCTGGACTCTCAGTCCAGTGCTCCTGCTTGTACCCCCTCAAGCTACATTGCATTTGTCCTGGACAGTGTTCAGACCTTCCCCTGGACTATGCAGATGCACCACCAATTTTGTTTGGGGGCCCAGCTCCTGGGATACCAGGAGGGTTGTTGAGGATGGTTACGGAGGAACATGGTTTGCATCAGTCTTCCTCTGCTTTACTTCCTGGGGATTTGTGCACTGACCCCACCAGCTTTTTATGTGTGTGTTCGACTGTGTATGTCTCCATGTGGATGTGAGTGTGACTGTCTATGTGTGTGTATGAGTGTCTGCTTATATGTGTGTGACATGTGTGTATGCCTAGATATGTCTATGTGTGTCTCTCTGTGTCTGTGTTCCTTTCTATGTGTCTCTGTGGATGTCATCTGTCTGTCTTTGTGTATTGAGTATGTCTGTGTGTCTGTGTGTGTGTAGCATACATGTGTGTATCTGTGGGGAGGTTTGTATGCATGTGTGTGTTTGTGTGTCCCTGTGTGTTGTCTGTCTGTATCTGTAATCTCTGTGTGTTATATTCATGTACGTAGTCTGTGTGCGGGTCTGTGTGAGCTCATGGTGTGTGTGTGCGCGTGGGTATGGCGTGTCCTGCGCTGAGACTCCTGAGAGCCCAGCTCCTTCAAGGTCCTGCGACAGTTCCCCAGCGGCCACCCTGGGGCGCGGCTGCCAGAGAGCGGGAGGGAGGAGCACATGGCTGGGTCTGCGGGCTGCGCCCCCGCTCCTCCCCGTGGGCCGGGCACACGTGGGCCCCCGGCACCGCCTCCCCGCGCAGCCCCCCGCCCGCCCCTCGCGCGCG